GTTCATAAAATTGAAACGAAAAGTGATCAATCTGGCCATAATCTTGAATTTCCAGCCAAAATAATTAAGACAAACCTCTTCGCGAGGTTCAAGAGTCAGCGCTATTTCGGTCTACCGGCGCGTATTTGGTGTAATGCAACCTTGAGACTGAGTGGGTCCGAGTTGACTCGAGGTGGGTCCGAAATGGCGTGGGTCCGAATTGACGTGGGTCCGAGATGGTGGTGGGTCCGAGTTAGTATTGGGTCCGAGTTGGCGTGGGTCCGAGTTGGTCCTGGGTCCGAGTTGGCATGGGTTTGAGTTGGAATGGGTCCGAGTTGATTTGGGTCCGAGTTGACCTGATGCCCCAAGAATCACGTACTCCTCTGGAGTGAGCTCACCTCACTCGCCTACCTCTCGTGCTGCTCCCTGTGAGCAACGTACGTTGCTCACAGTTCTGGGACTGGGACGTAGGAGTACACCCACTTGTGCCCTCCAGATCACCTTCACTTTAGGACTTCAAAAGACGACACTCTTGACAGCAACCCTGTCCACCAGACGCAGCAGAATGCCGGGAGAACCAAATTTCACCCAAAGATCAGTACTAGGCCTTGCTCTATGATTGAAGTAGGCCTAGGCAAAACTTTACTTGTTTTGCCATGGTTTTGGCTATGGCAGTAGTTAAACAAAATAAAACGTGCGCAGTAAAAGAAGGCCTCTTTTATTTTTGGTAGGTAACTAATGCTTTGCATTTGCTGATAGTTTGGTTAATTCTATGCCCAAAAATTCCCTGACGACTCTTGATAAAAAAATCTTCAGTCAGCTGGCATCACCCACGGATATAAATACATATGACGCAAGGGTCAGGGGTCACAAGTTGAGAGCCCGGGTGTTTTCGATTTCATTAGTGGCAACATCTCAAAAATGAGGCTTTTCCTATATCCAGTGGGTAATACTGCAAGTGTATCATGTTTCAGGCACAAAGCCTGCACTGGTCGAAGAAAATTATAGTCTGCATTTCACCTGGCATTTCGGCCTAGGTGACCTTCGATTTCAGCATAAAGTCAAATATTGTAGCAGAATCAACAGCTACATTAGCTACGGGAGTTTGCGTTCGCCAGTTAGTCTAGTCTTGGTTCCAAGACGTTACTATCTGTAGCTGTGTTCATTTATTAACGAACTTTTTAGCGCAGTAAATTTTGCCAGTCAACAGAGGGTGCTATGTGACGGACGAGGGTCTGTATTCGTCGTAACTACGCGTACGATAATCTTACACTAAACTCCTCCAATCATGGTCAAGTGGACTCCATAGCTCGTCCATTGTCTAACTCATAAGCTTTTCAATGTTTCACTTTCTACAGGGCAGGTCCCTTCAGAGTGGAAGATGATTAATGTTGTTCCAATTTATAAATCTGGTATTAAGCATGATCCTAGTAATTAGCGACCTGTTTTTCTCTGTTCTACTGTCTCAAAATGCCTTGAGAAAATTGTAGCAAATCATTTACGCAAATACATGCTCACACGTGGTTATGTGTCAGATACCCAGCATGGTTTTTTGCCTAAAGGCTCATGTATTACTCCGCTCTCTATATTGTATCATGATTGGGCAGAAACTTTGGATTCACTTCTTAGATTGGGCTAAAGCCTTTGATAGACTTAAGCATAATATTCTACTTGATAAATTGCATAAATATGGTGTGTGCGGTTCCCTCTTAAACTTGGTCTCTTCGTATCAGGTCGCATGCAGAGAGTCCATATGCAGAGAGGCATATTACAAAATGATTTGACATGTATTGATAATTGGTGCTCTTTAAATAGAATGAATCTTAATGTTAACAAGTGTAGAGTAATGTGTCTGTTTCGTTCCAAATCATTTAGTCGTTGTTATGTCTGGGTTCCCATGCACTGGAGACTATCGACTGTTTTAAGTATCTTGGTGTGACTATATCTAATGATCTGAGCTGGAAGAAGCATGTTGACTTAACTGTGTCTAAAGCAACTAGAATGTCAGGCTTTGTCAATAGGTTGGTTATTTAGAGATCCACAAATCCAAATGAAACTGTTTTGTGTTCTTATTAGACCTATTATCGAATATGCTTGTCCGGTTTGGTTCCCCGGTCTGGTTTCTTTGCAGCATTCCATAGAAAGTGTTCGTCATTTCACTCGATCTTGTTTAGGTTTACCCCGTAGGCACATACCTGGATTTCACATGAACAACTTAGATTACACTGCTCGTCACATCCAACTGGGTTTACCTCCCTTACTCAATAGGCTGAATTTTGTGCCAGTGGTTTTCATTGCTAAATGTATGTACAATAGGTTTCATGTTAATGTTAATATTGAAAGTCTTTCCGTAGTCAATACTAGGCATCTTGACAGTGTTAAGTTTCTTCCCTTTTCCTTGCATACACAAACTTTTTATGACTGATGATTTGTTAGATTCCCAAGACTGTGGGACACTT